ATTGCTGAGGCTGGTGACTCTGATGAACTTATCCTCCGCAGCAGAGATGACACTTGGTCTTCCTTTCCTGGGGCAGTCCTCATTTGAGCCAGCTTCTTTTCGCTCTTGATGTTTTTTGCGACTGCACTTGAGACACTTACACGTATCCAGTTTTTCGCCAATTTTTTGGACTGACTGACCTTCATTTCTTAAAGTAATGATGGCCACTCGTTTTTCTTTATTTAGGTGCCTTTTTCTTGCCATAACAAAAATTCTAACAGTCTATTCAGTAGGACTATCAACTGTGTATCCACTTGACTTCAGTACAACACAATTGATGTACAACCTCTTTTATAAGACAAAATATCCCACTTATTAAACCTGACATTGGACACCTGTGAACCATCAAGAGAATGCCAAGAGTGAGCGAAGCAGTAATCAAAGCAAATGGTGGCTACTTTGAAAAACTAAGAATATGACATATTTTAAGTTGTTTCACACTTTTCTGTTAAGTATATACCGTAAATTCTCTAATATTGGCCTGTATTCCATTAGCGGCCGGGACTCTAACATTGGCCGGTCTCGCTGTCAGAGGAGGTAAATAATGGCCGGTCTCTAATACAGGCCGGGGCTATAAACGTTTTTTCTGGGCATACCTCAACATTGTGGTAGTAACATACAAGTACCACAGCCCTGCGCAGTTGGACGACAGGCCCTGACTGCTGCCCGTCTGCGCGAGGAAGAGAACAGATACGCAGCAGAACATGAGGAGGAGCGCGAGTGATGAGGAGATTAAAGGGAGAGATGAAGAGGAGGAGGAAACTGAGGAGGAGGATTAAACAGAATTGGAGGATTTTTTTTTCTTTTTTACTTCAAACCAAGCGAGACATGGTAACTGTACTTTTTCAATAAATGAACCTAGTGTTTTATAGGTTCAAATAGACACAAAATCTCATTTTTATTCATTCCACTGGTAGTCTGTTTTGCTCAAATAGCAATAGAGGCCTGTCTCTAATTCTGGCCCCCTTCCAATAAAGGCCTGGACCGCGATGCACTTGAGTGAAATAAAGGCCCGGGCCTATATTAGAGGATTTACGGTAATTCCACATTTGTTAATTCATAGTTTTGATGCCTTCACTGTGAATCTACAAACTCTTTGAATGAGAAGGTGAACTGTATATGACAGCTGAAGTCTCTTATTTAATATGATTATTGCACAGCATTATTGCATAGGGTATTAAATGGGTATTTATACTAATAGGTATATATATATATATATATATATATATATATAGTTGTAGTTATTGCACAGGGTATTAGATACAAACAGGTTAGTGCACGGGGTATTACATAGTGATTGCACATTAGTTATTGCAGTTATAGTGGTACAGTCTGATAGCAGCACGGATGAATGACATGCAGTAGAACTTATTGTACAAACAGAGTGTATACGTCTTTCATTAAAGGAGCTATTCACCCTTTTTGTTTTTTGGGCCACCTGTGTTTCTGTTAGTTTAATCCTCATTAATCAAGTACAGGTAGGCAATTATTGTACCACATTTTTAATGTCATGTGAATGTTTATAAATCATGAAAACTACATGATGATGTTTGTGTTAAGTTTACTATCTTTTCAATCTCCATGTTATGAAAACAGGAATAGATATCCCGATATTTGTAAATAAGATGAAATGCAGTTACTGCAATAATGCTGCACAATTTAAAGTGCATTTTTTCTCTCAGTTGGTTTAGTAATTTTTTTGTTTTGTTTTTTGTTTAGAGTCATGCTTATTATCATATACTTTGAGTTATAGTGTATTATAAAATCTTTAATATCCTTTGTATTATAATCTCAGCAGATATATCACAAAAACACTACAGTGACCTCTAACCCCATATCACTAATCCCTACCATTATGTTTTTCGAAAATCAACCTGGTGGCATCACTATGTTCATTTGTGCAAATTGTAATTGTTTTTATTCAATACTTTATAATACGAGGCTTTCTATAAAATATATTGTTCTGTTGTCATTTAATCTTGTTTTTTTGGCGCATTTTCTTCTTCTTATGACCTCTAAAATGAATATCCATTCAAAAAGCTTCAATCTTCTGTGTTTTTTTTCTTCCTCCTGAAGGAAACTTGGAACTGCTGGACAGAAACTCGGGGGGTCTGCAGCTCTGTGTCACATCCGCCATGACCCCACAGACCCCAGTGGCTGCTTCATCCTCACAGCTGCTAACGTGGGAAAGTGCCAGGCCATCTTGTGTCGGGACGGGAAGCCCATGTCCCTGTCGCTGCTTCACAATGTGGGCTTGGAAGAGGAATACCGCAGGATCCGGCAGCACAGAGCCATCGTCACTGAGGTAGAGGGTCCACTAATGACCTGTAATAAATCTATTTTTAAATGTGCAGCGTATTGATTTATATATTTCTTTATCCAAGGACAACAAGGTGAATGGAGTGACTGACTCAACAAGAATTATGGGCTATTCCTTCCTTTACCCCTCAGTCATCCCTTGCCCATACGTGCAGACTGTGACTCTCACCCCTCAGGATGAGTTCTTTATTCTGGGCAGCCATGGGCTGTGGGATGCAGTGTCTGCCACAGAAGCAGTGGAAGCAGTTCGAAACGTCCCTGATGGCCTGGCTGCTGCTAAAAAGCTTTGCACCCTGGCTCAAGGTTATGGCTGTACTGACAGCCTGAGTGCAGTTGTGGTGCAGCTCAGCGTGAGTGAAGACTGCTGCTCCTGCTGCTGTTCCGAGCCCCCCCACCATCCCCCTAGCCCCGGCCTGGGCCCCTACCCTCCATCTTCCTCCGCCATTAAGGATCGGCCCTCTGATGGTTCACTGCCTGTTCCCCCTTCGTCCTGCAGCGAAATCAGCAGCGAGATAAGCACCAGCGAGATGAGCAGCGAGGTGGGCTCCACGGCTTCATCCGACGAGCCTCCACAGAGCTCCTTCGTGCTGCTGCAGGATCAGACGCACCACCCTCAGCTCCACCTCCACCATCAGGCCCATCTGCTATCCCTGCAGCATCAGCAGCCACACACGGCCACCCAGACCTGCCAGTATCTGCTGCCAGGTTCAGAACTTCCTTCAGCTCGGAGCTGTTGCGCTCTCCATCCAGCCTGCCTCACCAGCTCCTTTCAGAGGCAACTGTCCAGCGCCACCTTCTCCAGCGCCTTGTCAGACAACGGGCTGGACAGTGAGGATGAAGAGCCCATCGCAGGCGTCTTCTCAAACGGGAGCCGGGTGGAAGTTGAGGCAGATGTTCACTGCCTCAAAGCTGAGCTCTCACAGTTATCCTCATCCCAAAACCTTGTACCCTCATCTTCCACCCAGGAACACACCATGCTCTCTCTTCCTCCACCGCCACCGCTACCACCATGCACGCCCGACCCACTAGAGGAAGCGGTGGACCTGAACCAGGCAGAGTCAGAGAATGGGCTCGACAGAGACGAGTCCTGGTCAGGTGTGGGAGTGGGAGCTGGGGACGGTGGGAAGTTTCCAGGAAAGAGGAGAGTTAACGGTTCAGTGGCACGTCAGGAAAAGAGTCACAACCTCATCGAGGTGGCGGCCGATGCCCCTTCCAAGAAATCAGGAGGATACTTCACAGCTCCGGCCCAGCCCGACCCAGATGACCAGTTCATCATCCCTCCTGAGCTGGAGGAGGAGGTGAAGGAGATCATGAAGCAGCATCAGCAGAAACAGCAGAAGCCAGCTGGGATGGATCAGCCCACCGACTACTTCGATACCCCTCTCTAAGCTTAAGAGTCGACCTCCTCTGATGCCGCCCTTCATTCTACTGTTAATGCACAGATAAGTAGGTTTTACGGGGAGGCTGAAAAGTCTGCATGAAAGTTTTACAGAACAGACTTCATCCCTACGCAGCGTCTAATCTTTGGATAAACATGTACTGCTGCACCTGCAGAGTTAAATAAGCAAATGAGCCCTTTAATGATCCTCAACCTTCTGGATACGTGTGAGGACAGAAATCCCAGAGCCAGCGTTCTGTTCACAGATCAAATCTGTTTCTTTTTTTTGTTTTTCTTTTCTTTTTTTAAATAAATAATCAACACTAGTCTATTTGCGATAGCATTAGCTTGTCACACATAATATACATGATTTCTTTTGTTTTGTAAGAACCTAAATTATGTTTTAATGTGAACGCAGTGAAGTTCTTGAACGCAACCTTTTTGAAAACAGACTCCTTATCTTTTTATTTTCAGTCCAACTTTGATGAATCATCCGGCATTAAAACCCACACCTAACTATTGTAGATAGGGCACTTTAAATACTGTATTTCTTCAGTAAATCAAAGCTCTCGGCCTGTAAAATGACATAGAGATTTTTTTGTAGAAAATTTCCAATACTAACTCCTAGGAGTTGCATACTCTATATGGTGACTCAGTCACTTTTTTACTAATCTTCTCTGAGAGAAATGGTGATTCTTTTTTCAATTATTGTAAATAAGAGAATTGTTGTATACTGATACTTTTAAAGGAACTGCGTACCTGTATGTCGGTGAAGGTTTTTAAGCTGTGGGGAGGATATAGTGTTTGCTGTTATAGAGGTGAGCCCCCATTTATCTTACAGTGTAAAACCACAAATACGACTTCAAATTCACAACGTACACAAATGTAAATGTGCAATTGCAGGATGGAAACTAACATTCCGTGCAATATTTATACACTAAGTTGTCCACTTTGTTAAATTGTGATATCCTGTAGTCATCACCGTATCTACTTAACACTAAAAGGTCTTTGCATGCACAGACAGACAAACAAATGCATACACACAGACATTTACACACATGGATACTCACAGGTAATTAGTTCTACCTCCCTCCTACAGTAACTATTATCACCGGCATGACTGTGTCTAGTTCAGTAACACCAACAAGTATAGCCACATGGAAAAGAGACACTACAAATGTTCCTGTCTTTGGTATAATAAATTTTAAATTTGTGAATATAAGCTCTGTTGTCTGAGACTTTATTTTTTTTTACATCTTAACAGTTTTTTTTTCATTAAAACATCTTAGCACTGATAAAAGCATAATTTTAAAATACTTTATTTCAAACAACCCTTTAAATCCAAGTGTATCATATTTGATACATTAGTTTTTGAGACACCTGCATCATCAAGATATTTTTGTTCCTGAAAACCCCGGCTTACACATTCAGACACGAGGTGAACAGAAAATATATAACAGATTATACAGAAAGGCCTGCTTTATCAAAGTTGATGCAAATAAATGATCTAATTGAACTGATACAAAATTTCTCAGAAAGTTTAATATCACTCTAATTTTAAAAAATATATAATTTTTTGTTAATTATTTCATTGTCCGGGCTTTGAAGGGTTTAAACTTTCTCTCCTTTTATGTGTTTACATCAAATGACCAGTAGGTGGCAATTCAATGCAGCATTGGATCCAGTACAGGATCTCATTCTGCTGTTGTGATATTAGCCTGTTTCTGTTAGCCTACTTAATTAGCATGCACATTTTCCAGGGTTACACCATCCATCTTAGCACGCTTCTTGTACTTCTTCTTCACACAGAGGATGCTCACTACTGTGATCACCAACATGGCTGCCAGCACAGACAGGGAGGAGGCCAGAGCAAGAGTGGTTTTATCCTTTGTGGAGCCTTTGTACTGACAGTTTGGCCCGTAGTACCACCAGTCATTGCCTACAACACACCTGCAGGGTAGCAATAAAGGGACAGGAGAGGGAGAAAAATCACATTCTAATATGTTTTCAGTAACAGGTCTTTAGAAACCCTAAATTTGATTCCACTTTCTGCATAAACTAATCATATACAAAAAGGACTCTCGATTTATCTTTATAACTCACTGATTCTTGAAACTTTGGCAAAAACATCTCCCACTAAGAAAAGTGCTAATTCTGTTGGAAAGAAATAACATTTTCATGAATAAAAACAATCAAGGTTATAATCAGGGGGTCCTTTGCACAAATGCAAGGTTCTTTTAAAGTTTATTTTATTTTATTGTTAATTTAAAGATTATATGCTGGCCCATTGCCTATAAAATCAGTTGTCCTTGGATAGGAGATAATCATTTCAACTTCATTAAAAAAAACAAAAAGTAATAATTGAATTGAATAATATCTTTACCAAATGAAAGGGTACATTTTAATATGTATTTAAAACTACAAACAGTGAGTTTTGAACAATAATAACCATTATTTTGTGATTGCTCAAAATGTGTCCCACATATTTGTCACCACCGTCAGATATTTATAAAACGCAATAAAATCAGGCAACTAAAAGGTCAACTACATGCCTGAGGACCCCATTTTCAAATCTTCAGCTCTACTGGATGCCTTAAGGTCACTCAAGCTCCTGTAGGTTTGCTATTTTCTCTTAAACTTGTTCATATTTTTGGACACTGCTAATGTCACAACCATAACATGTCAACACCGTCTCTTTTGTATAAAAAATATTAGATTAGATTATGACATAAATGTTTACTTTTTAAGAAGAGGTCTAAAGTAGCTAGCAACAGAGGGGAAACAAGATGGCTAATGGGAACAACTCATGCATATCATGTGAAAGAGTAGGATTTTGTCACCACCGTCAGACGTCACCACCGTCAGATTTTCTGTCTGACGGTGGTGACAAAAAACTACAAATGGTTCTCAATGGAGGCTAGAAAATAATTGTTGATCTGCAATGTTTCATTAACTTCTTTTATATTTTTATTTATGTAATTCCGCCTAGATTTCTTCCATATTGTATAACCCTAGGGGATGGGGTGTGCCTTCCCTGTCTCTCAATTCACTATTATGCCATGTTCATTTTGTTTACATCATTTGGGATGCACATAGTGCACCTACTACCTACCTACATAGCACATAGTATACAATATTCCTTGTAAGCTATGGCAGGGCAACATTTAACCAAATCTAACATTTACTGTAATTCCCCCCAATTTCATAGTCATTACACTCAACTTTGACTTTATGTATTTTAGGAAGTTATGGCTAGGAAGCAGCTATCTGTGAAGGAAAGAAGGAAAAGAAACAGGGAATATCAAAAGAAGTGTGAAGGCCTACTGAAAAAAAAAACCTACATATATTCAAGCAATTACTCAGAAGGTTAAAAATTTCTACCATAATGCAGCACGAATGACAACTGACAAACAGGACACAATCACACGCAAGAAAATAAAGCATCAGAGAATGATTCTGACTGATAATGATATTTCTTAATTGTACCTTATATTCCTTGAAAAATATTTGTCACAGTGCTCATGATTGTTATTTTTTGGACCAAATAGTTAAATAAAGTTAATAAGCAAGAAACCATTGACTTGAATTGTATACAGTTTGGAATTGTATGTTGAAATGAGGCCACTGTCACCACCGTCAGAGGGTTTTTATTCGTTTTAAATGAATATGCTTGCAATATGTTTCTTCAGTGCTGTTCTCTCATTAAAGTAATGGTCTCTTTTAATACAAAAATATGTTTGTTAAATAAAAAAACATGACTTTTTCTATTTAGGCTTAAAGTAAACGTTATCTGATGTTAGATATTTTAAAGGACTACACGTGAAACAGTTAAAAAAAATTAACAAAAATGAATATTCAACATTTAACAGCATAAATGTGTGCTAACAATGCCAGATAAAGATTTAAAAACTCTAAATACTTATTAGACCAAATAAATAAAAAATAATTAGCTTTTTATTGTGTCTGATGGTGTTGACAAAAACAAAGTAATAACTGGAAAAATGCCTATTTTATGAAAGAAATACAAAATGAGGAGGTTGCACCTGTACACTGCTGAACAGCCAAGACCTTGGTCTATAACAATATACCTTCAGATTTTGTAATCCAACTAACTTTTTATTTTCAAAATTAAAACCTGTTTTATCCAAATTCCCAAGAATCAGTGAACTATGTTCAATTTAAATTCAGTTTTTATATAGCGCCAATTCACAACATGTCATCTGAAGGCACTTTACAGTTCACCAGATCATACAGTCAAATTGATTCAAAGTTTTCTATTTAAGGAAAACCAGTTGATTGCATTGACTCTGATGCAATCTCTCACACTAAGCATGCTTGTGGTGACAGTGGAGAGGAAAAACTCCCTTTTAACAGGGAGAAACCTCCAGCAGAATCAGGCTCAGTGTGAGCGGCCATCTGCTGAGGCCGACTGGGGTTCAAGGAGACAGAAGCAGAGATACAAAAGCAACTGTAAACGGCTGTCCCCGTCCAGGAATGTTGAGAACATAGGCAGTTTATGGAAAAATATAAATGACATTTTGAATAATATTGTTATTTTGCTGTAGCATCTTAAAATGATCTGACCACATTTGTTTTTAAATTGCGAAACAAAAACTAAGAATTTATAGTATCACATCTATCAAATAATAGAATAGAAAGATTAGATTTTTGCTCCTTCTAAAATGCAGTTTTTTGTTGACATTTACAATATTCTAAAAATAAACTAGGAAGCAGATTTCAACATGCCAATCTTAGTGGCTACAGCTCGCTTCAGTAAAAACATGCTCACCTGCAGGTAGGCTCTCCCTGATCCACAACACAGACTCCACCGTTCTGACAAATCACTTTTTGACAACTATCTGAAGGGTTAGTGGTTGGGATAGTTGCATAAGTGGTTGGGATAGCTGCATTAGTGGTTGGGATAGCTGCATTAGTGGTTGGGATAGCTGCATTAGTGGTTGGGATAGCTGCATTAGTGGTTCGGATAGCTGCATTAGTGGTTGGGATAGCTGCATTAGTGGTTGGGATAGCTGCATTAGTGGTTGTGGGAGGCAGAGGCTGGGAGACTGTCAGATGGGACACATCTATAAAAAGAAAATAAATAATCAAATATTGGATGATAACATTCTTTTCCGTGCATTGCCTATGGGGAGGTAACATGACAGTGACATGTTAGAAAAGAGTTTGCTTCAAATTATAGTGATTTGATCTGTACAGACATAATCATAGCACTTCAATAGAACCCATCTGACAATATGAAATAGGCAGTAGCATATCAAAAGCAATATATCCTAGACTGATCAAAAAAAAGTCAACACTTACTTGTCTGTAACACATTTCAAAGCCATTTCTAAGGCTTTGGGACTGCAGTGAACTACAGTAAAAGCCATTATCAGCAAAAATGGAGCATTGATTAACCTTCATAAAAGTGACAGGACTATCAAAATTCCTCCAATAGTGTGCTGACAATTCATCTAGGTGGTAGCAATAGTGCCCTGGAAATTTATTTACTTATTTTGGTAGGTGATGGAAGCATTTTTAAGGAGCTGTTTTCTCGTTTATACAGTAAGCTTGTGCTTTTACCTTCCATTGTGAGAAGGAAGATGGCATCTCCTCCCTTGATAAAGTCTCGGCTCTTAGCTCTCAGGTGGGTGAGATACACTGGAGTTCCAGCACCCGGTCCACGGAAATACTTGGACCCATCTGTAAACGTGACCTCAACCCCGACTTTCCGAGGATCATCCCAGAAAAAAAGGTCAGAATCTGAAAGAATGTTGATAAGATGCATAAACATAGTTTTAAATATAAAGGGCAGCATTGTGTTCATAATTGAATCTTTTTTAGAGATACATCCTCACCTGCTTCTTTCATGTTTGGGTCAGTTGTGACGCTGCGCTGATTGGACATGCGCTTTTGGATATGTGGGTGCTGATCCATCAGCATCATGGTTATCTGTTTCCAGGGACATGGCCATGTTTGTCCGGTGTCCCCCTCCCGGGCCACCAGGTGAGCGTAGGCAGATGACTCTCCAGAGTAACCCTCATTTATTCCATTGGGGAAAAGCTCCATCTGAAAGGTGTAACCCTCTTTAGATGTGAAGGGGGGGCTAAAAATAGCAGTCTTGGGTGGGGAGGTATCCATGACATGGCTGAAGTTTTTCACCCGCCACACAAACTCAGGACAGGTGGTTTCAGAAAGGTTAATGTCGTCCAGTGAGAGTCCTCCTGCAGCTGGACCAGAGCCCCCCTTTTTCCCTTCAAAGACCACTCTGAATTTTTTTTTCACATCTAGACTCACATGGTGCAGCTGCCACAAATCTTGAGGAGATCCTGCAGCAAAACAAGAAAGAGGATTATTGGACAGAAAGCACACAGTGGTGATATTTCTCCTGCAGAACTCCATTAGCCTTATGTCTTAGTAGCGGTTACCATCTATTGTTCCGATGAAGCGCAGGACTCCACTGGGGTCGGCTTCATCGTACTCCCTGACATAGATTTTCAGTGTGTCGCTGGGACCAGCACTGTTGTAGTAGAAAAACTGCAGACATTGGTATCCTCTTTTGGGATAGACAAGCCTACTCTCCAGCATAGCTGTGTCTCCGATGTTGGCTGTACCAGTGCTAAAGTGCATGAAGTATCCAGATCCTACACAAAGACATGCCACAAAAAATAATTATTGATATATTTTTGAATATGCATTATGAAAATCATTCTAATAATGTTGGGATTTATATGCATAGATAATTGTTAAGGAGGTAAAGTAAAAAAAAAAAGGCTATTACAAAGAAAAATGTGTTTATATTATTTTCATTTTTCTTAACGTTGGAGAATTAAAATTGATAGATTATGAAATTGCTTACTGAGATGAAACTTATCTATATAGAGTGTTTATTTCAGCATTGTTGTATCTCTCCAAGATCCATCTCACCTGTGCATTTGCCCATGTTTGAGTAGTCTGTGTTGGGCCCCCCAGCAGCTTTAGTGACCCTCAACCAGTCGGCCTTGTCTCCATGTCCCTGGATCATCCCGCAGATGTTTTCACGTTCAAAGTCACATGAATCCAGGAAGGTGGAGCCTTGAGCTAGAAGAACATTCGCATATTGAAGGTACTTTGAACAGCAGTAAACTAGTTATTCTGCTTGTCCACATATTTTTATGTAGCACAAGTGAAGAAAAAGTCATCTTCAGCTGATTCTTTTTTAAATTGCTTTTCTTCTTTAATCATAAAAGCAATTTAAATCATTCCTCACCAAAGTTTTTAATTTGCTTTATTCTTCTATATGTTCATGGTAGTTATTTAGTACATTGTTGTTGTTATATTTTCAATGGAATTTGCTGTTTATTTGTTTATATGTGCAGAGTTAACTGACCCTGAATTGAGCTTGAATCAGACTTTCATCTGTTCTCATAACACAGTTGAAATTGTTTCCACAGAACAACATACTGCAGTTTGGAAGTTATTTGATTAAACATTAAACAACACAAAGTTACAACAGCGGTGACCCTTACTGCACTTGTAGAGGCGGTTCAGCTTCAGCAGATCACTGTCACTGAACTCCATTCGCTGGCCAATGACATCACTGAAAGCAGGGATTTTTGTGACGATGGTGGGCTCAGAGCCGTTGCGGAAAGCGTTTTTACTATAGTGCATCATGGAGTTGTAGTCGTAAGGTACGCCCAAAGAGCTGGAGATTTTGTCATTGTACGTGTTGAAATTGTGCTCTTTACCTGCAAAGAAACCCCTGCCCTTTAGCTGCAGAAAGCTTTCAGAATGTTGGGTTACCAAATGGTGTTTGAAATCGCTCACCTGTTGTTGCACAAAGTATTTTGACTACAGTTAAAAGAAATGTATATTTTAAAAATTTTTATGAATCTAGGCTAATTCTCATACAAATGCTTATCATTTTTACATAAAACCAGTGCAGCACTAAAACCTGCTATAAAGCTCTGAAGTCATGCAGACATTTTAAAACATGCATAAAAAACATTTTACTCAGTTCATCAATTACAGCTCTTGAAAAAGTATTCACTCCCCTTGAACTGCTACACATTTTGTCGGATTACAATGCATTTTTTTTGCCATAACATGCTGCATTACTCCATGATTGAATTCATTTTTATTGCATTGAAGCCCTTTAATGCCTAGGTAAACCATTGAAATGTTGTCTTTGCACTTCAAGTTCAGTCAGATTGTTCATAGAGAATCATGGATCATCATTTCAGGTCTTGCAATAAATTCTCTATTAAAATGGATCTGTATCTTCACTAAACTTATGTTTTTTTATTCCCATATTTCTTTTATCTCACTATAATGTCCATTCAAATTTCTCCACCTTCTGCATCCCTGCTAAAAATATAGCAACCCCAAAACAATAACAGGCCAGTCCTATATTTGTTCGTATTTATATCACATAAAATCCCTTTAAAGGTCTTAAGAGGTTAAAATCCTCTTCTAATTCCCTGCACATGAAATCATTATCTTTTGATTTAGAAATATAAACGCTTAGTTGCGATACCTTCTGAGATGCGGTCCCACATGATGCGTACATAGTCATCTCGATCTGACCTGGACTGCTCATGCCAGAAGCCCAACGCATGAAGGAATTCATGTTCTATCGTAGCAATGCGGTCACAGTTCGTTCCTATTGACAACCTCTGCTTTCCAACTTTCCGATTACCAACAGAAGAGAAACAGCTTTGGGAAGAGAAAGCCAAACTTTTATGAACATCAAATACATTCAGCAGTCTTATCTCAAATACTCTTGTGTTCTGAATTAGTAATGATTCAATCCCTAAGAAACTACAGCTTATCGCACATCTCAAAGTATAGAAGAAAGGTTCTTGTTGCTTACCCGCTTCCTTTGAAGATGGAAATGTAGTTTTCTTCCCCGCTCCATGGCTTGAAGTCAATGCAGGTCTTTAGGCGGTACTGCTCAAAGGCCTTTAAAATCACACCTTTTGCATTGATCTCTTCAGAGGAGACAATAAACAGGTAAATAAGTTGTTTTCAAGTTTGAATGTTTTCATAATCTCTTTAAAAAAAACTAAAATCTTGTGTTTGCACAAGTTGATAAAAAGTCTCAAGATAGATGATGCAATTTTAAGCCATTTAAGATTATCTCTCCTGATCTGTTGTCAGCTTCAGCAATTAACCCCTTTCTTGTTGTATAAAGCTAATTCTGTTTGATGGAGGTCAGTACTAACTTAACAGTTAAAGCTTCTGTATCTCAGGTGTTTAAATCAGACCACACAGGTCAGCCATCGTTCCCCCTGAGCATCAGTGGGCCTTGATCTTGCAGCTTTCCATCACTGTTTCTTCCGTGAACCACTTTTGATAGACATTGCAGACCTGGAACACCCAAAGGTGTAGCAAATTTGAAAATGTTCTTAAAAATAGCTATACCTTCAAAACTAGCCTTTGGACTTTAACCTTTAAATTTTTTAACCTATTAAATTTTAATTGTTCACTTGCCTGCATTTTCTGCTTAACATTTCAAAATTACTACTGTATTTTGCTGCCTAAAATATCTCAGTGACTCCTACATGATCACAGTGTTATCAGTGTTATGTACTTCACCTGTCATAAAATATTCAATAAAGGATAAAAAAGTGCCTTTTTATCATCATCTTAGCATCTGATTTTTAAATTTTTTTTGTCTGACAATTGTCTTTTTTCCCCCCATAAAAATCACGTAGATTCCACTGCAGGATTCAAAACAAGCAACATATATCCTGCCTGCTGTTGTTTGTTGTTTTCCTCTTGTTTGCTTTGGTCATGCTATGAGATTATTGATTAACTGTCAGTAATCTTGATCTTTATCAGGGTCACACTTGATAAAGATGCAAGGTTAGACAATAAAAGATGGCACATGTTTAGAGCTTTGTGTAGTTTCACAATTGGAATCTTAAATGTTTTGTATGCACAGTTGAAAAATCACTTTATTATAGTAATGGAAGTTAATCTTTTAATTAAATTTTAATGAGTAAAATAAGAAGTCCTACGTTTTTACGAACTTTAAAAAACTAAATGTTTCCATGTCACATTCAGATTGCGTGCAAACATTAAGTTAATCTGTTAATAAGTTATTTTCAGTCTATATTTTTTAGGTATATATCATTACCTAGGTCATCCTCCATGTAGTAGGGAATAGTTCTTGGCCATTTATACTCCTCCCCTATGATTGAATTTCGAGTCTGTCCCTGCAGCAACAAGAAAAAGACAATCCCAACTGTAGAAGCTTTGTTTTGGAAATTTCAGTTGATGATTAAAAATGAAACAGGCTAACTCAATTTACCTCATCCAGAACAATGTCCCCCTCTACGAGATTCAGTCCTGCCTCTGTGGGGACAAAGATCAATTATGTAAAAAAAGAAAAATGGGTTAAAAAGGTAGACAGGTGCAAAGTTTAAAAAAATTAGAAAGAAATAACCCAAACTGTGTTATTTCCCGATACCTTCATTAATGTCAAAAATGTCAAGGTCCAGTCCTCCATCTACATCAAAGTCTGTGAAACAATTGCAAATATTTCTATCAAACATTATAAAAGAGTTAAGTCCTAAGTTTTCTTAGGAAAATGCTTACTTGATATCTTTGCAGTCGGCTATGTTGATGAAAGATTAAAAAAAAAAAGTAGACAGAACTGTTCAATAAAGTAATTGGAATCCGCTTTAAAACTTGCCAAGTAGAATATTGTAATAAAACATTTCTTACCAAACAAAGGTAGGTGCCACACAGAAAGCAAAGAACGTGAAGAACAAGAATACCTTTTGGTTTTTTTCCTGCCATGTTCCGCTCCTTTGTGTTGAGAAGTAAACGGATGGCGGATACTGTACAATGGACAGATGCTGATGAGACAGAAATTACAAAGTTGCACATTGATGATAAAGCATGTATGTCCACAAGTAAATAACTGACAGAGCCATAAAGTTACCCAACAGCTCTGCTCCTTTGCTTCTATGCCTATAAATCTTTAAACCTTGGAGAAGAGCCCTAAACACCTGAGGCACTTAAATGTTTTAAAGGGTTTCAATCTCACTTTTTTAAAAGGGCTAGTTGAAAATGAAAACTTAAATATCATCCTTTTATAATACAAAAAACAAATTGCTCTGGTAATATGAAATTATAGCAATTATAGCCACTTGTAAACTTAAATAACCTTTACACATGAGATAACATATTTTATGACGTTATATGTTTTTTGGCTCTTGAGGGCCAAATACATTGTTGGGCCAGTCTCAGCCCAGGGACCTTGAGTTTGACAAAAATGATTTAACAGAATACATTTGTTGCTGCAAGAAAGTTTTCAAACCAGACTGTCTTTTAACATTTCATTACGTTATACCTATAAGCGTGACGCAGGCATGCAAAGGGAGAACATGCAAACTACATGCATAAAGACTGGGAATCAAATCGAGGACCTTTTTGCTGCAACACAGCAGTGCTGCAAACAGTACCAACGTGCAACCACATCATAAAACCGACATTTTTATGTAATCTAAATATATTTTGTAATCATTCCCCACAATATGAACTGTAAAAATCCCAGGGTTGCGTTGCCAGTAGAACCCGAAACAGCTTCTTCCCCGTTGCCATCAGAAAGCTGAACTGTTGAAAAAACTCTAAATCAAGTCACAGACTCTGTATCAAACTGACAACACTAAAACCCTGCATAATTGCAGCATATATATTTCAATGCTCTGAACTTCCATATAATATGTTTTTTTGCACCATGTGTTTTTCCTCCCCCCACACTGTTTATATGTGATCACTGCTGCACTTTAAGAAATGGAAATATCATGAGAGCTATACAAAATGATTTTGTTTTGTTTGTATACACTCTGGGCCGGATTTATCAAGATCCAATTTTGCGTGCAGCAATTTGCGCTCGCAAACTGGAATTTTGCGCGAGGGGCTGAACCATGGTTTGCGGGTGATTTAACAAGAGTGATTGCGTAACTGGTGGAAGGTGCAAAACTGTTGGAGACGCCCTATTTAAATGATGGTTTTGCGCGTTTTGTGGTTTGCGGCAAAGTAGTTTGTAGTCTGTACAAACTAGTGCATTAAGAAATTTAAATCTTACAGTGACCCCCAACAAAAAAAAAATAAGTAAATATATATATATATATATATATATATATATATATTTATAAATTGGCAACCTTTATTCCCTAAGGTGGTATGTGCTGCAGTGAAAAAAACAAAACAAAAAAAAAAACAGGTGTTTTGTATTGGCCTGTGACTGTGGATGAGATCCCCGCAGCATTTGGCACGTTGCTCCACAGGCGCAGGGGGAGAACCCCGACCCCGTCGGACAGCACTTCTGAAAAAACGAGATTGGGAGATCCCAGCTCTCGCTCCAACCGTACGCTGGAATGACCCAGATGCAAAAAAGTGCAATGTTGCAAGGAGTTTTGTGATATCTGGTATTGCGTGGGTCCTCCTTGCGGCTGGCTCCAAATCCATTCGGAGTTCCCCCAACAGCTCCAAAATGGCAATGCTGGATAAACGATATGTTTTGATGATCGTTTCCTCGTTCATTGCAAAAATATTCACACGGAGTGAAAAAATGCGTTCTCTGCGTCTCCTTGCTTTATTTCCATGTCTCCTTCTTGCGACAATAACTGCTGCCATGTGTGCGCAATTACGCATACAGACCATTTGCACCTTCTTTTGAAACGTGTTAAATATAGAGTCAGATACCGTTAGCAAAATTGCGTTCAAGTTTGATAAATCACTTTGCGAGTGCTAAATTAATATATTTACATGTTCTCCTCCCACAAGACGCACTTTAGCGTGTAAACGCCCCATATTGCATATTCATTGCAGAAAAAGTACTAAATGGATCAGAGGCGCTATTTAGCACGTTTTAAAGACCAAATGCTTTTAGCACGCTGTTGATAGATCAGTTTGTACATTTTTTAGCGTGCGCAGTGAAATAGCTCACGTTTTAATACACGCAAACCTTTGATAGATCCGGCCCTCTGTGTATATAAAATGACAATAAAATTTGTCTAAGTCTAAAAAATAGCTCTAACTCACTCGGCTCAAAAGGAGATGAGTCTGTGAACATTAGCTTCATATCTTGCCATGGGTTTCCAGCTTGTGTTTTATAATTAACCTGTATGCACGTCTTTTTATCTTTGCCTTAACTATAGGCCTACTTCAAAGGCCAGCTTCCTATATATTTCTGGAAAAAAAAAAATGCATCCCACAGCATTATTCTCCCACCACCATTTCTCTCAATGGGAATGGTAATTTAAAACACCATAACTTTATTCCTAACCTATGTCCTGTGCTTCTTCGTCTTAATGATGTCTTTTGTTTGCCAAAGTTCTAAAGAAAAACCTTTACTAAACAGCTGCACTTAACCTAAAACGGACAGTTGTTTACACTGGAAGTTATTAGGATTACAAAATTAAAAAGTGTTTAAAACAGATGCCTCCATACAAGATTTCACCGGGAAAAAAAAAAAAAAAAAAAACATGAAAACCACTATTCACAGTTATGCAGTAGATTTGTTTTGCTTTTTTGCAACATAAAATAATGTGAAAAAAGAATACCTCCGAAGAATATTGTAAGAATTGTAAGCTTTCATGCTGTTCTTAATGGTGATTGAAAAGGTTTTTTTCATTTCCTCTTGAGTGTTGCAACGTAGATAAGACTGTGTGCACAAAATCTAGGTGGATTGGTGCACTTTTAAATGCTGTTTTATCTGACGGCTCTTCTGTTTTGATGTTTTCACAGGAAGTGTAATTCCTTTGCTCCCATTGTTTCACGTAAATAACAGAATTTATTTATTTTTTTACTGGAGCAGCAAATCCTTTTGTTGAAACTGAACTTTTTAACCAAAAACCTGTCTGTTTCAATGTGTTTCTCTTTCATCTCTATGGTAACCTGCTCTTTTGATTTTAAACCAACTGCAGATGGTTTTAAAATAAAATGTCTCCTTAGACACCAATATTAGAGTAATATAACCTAAGTAAGATGGTATTTATGAGGGGGCGAACAAGTCAGAAATCATACTGCCACCTACATATTAATATATTTCAACTCTCATACACAGTACATGTATTCTATTCCTTACATACAAATGTTGTATGTCTTCTTTCACATACATGTTTTCCTCTCATATACATATATTCTTCTTCATATAGACATACATTCAAACCTCACAAATACATTTTATCTCATATATTTAGATTCTCTTCTCATATAGACACTTTTTCCCACTTTTTTTACATTATCCTCTCACGTACATAGATTCTCACATACGTCATACTCTCACATTCTTCTCTAACATGCATAGTTTCTCGTCTTACTGTACATCTTCTTCAAACTTGGAAACAAAGTCCAGTGGATTGTTTCTTACGTTTTTTGGAACTCCTCTTACATGCATACATTCTCCTCTTACATATATACAGTATATGTCATATTCTCACAATACATCATACATGCAATCATTCTCCTATCAAACGCATTAATAATTCTGTTAGCATGCATACTTTCTCCTCTCACACTCATACATTCTCTTTCACAAGCATACCTTCTCATCTTACATACATACATCATACTCTCACATGCATACTTTCTTCTGTCACAAGCATACATTCTCATCTCGCACACATGAATTGTTCTCTAACATGCATACTTTCTCCTCTTACATTACACATTAAATACATTTCATCCCAATGCTGTGTATCCCAAGCCCGTAACATTATCAATGACTCCTTACTCCCCCACAATGGATTGTTTTTCCTGCCGCCATCTGGGAAGAGGCTTTGCAGCATTTGATGCAGATCCAGAAGATTCTGCAACAGCTTCTTTCCCACTGCCATCAGACTGCTGAACTGTTGAAAAACAATTCCAAATCAAGTCAAAGACTGCATCAACCTCATAACACCAAACCAAAATGCTGCATATTTGCACCAAATATATTTGTCTTGAAATGCTCTGAACCTCCGTACCAATGTGTTTTTGCACGATGTTTTTTTTTTCTTCAACACTGTTTATTTGATCACTGCTGCACTTTATGGGACAGAAATGTTAATTTCACTGCCAAGCTGTTGTTCATTTACTCTCTGAAAGCTGTACAAAACGAAATTTCATTTTGTATACACTCTGTCTATACAAAATGACAAAAAAGATTGTCTAAGTCAAATGCATACTTTCTCCTCTCATGCATAGTTCTCCTCTTACACCCATACATTCTTCTCTCACATACATACTTTCTACTCTCACTCGCCTACATTCTTCACTAACATGCATCCGTTCTCCTTGCACATATATACATCATACAGTACTCTCACAAGCAGATATCATACTTTCACATAAATATATCATACTCTCACATGCATCCATTCTCCTCTCACATATATACATCATACTCTCACATGCACATATCATACTTTCACATGAATATATCATACTCTCACATGCATCCATTCTAATCTCACATATACTGTATACATCATACTCTCACATGCACATGTGCGTTCACATGAATATATCATACTCTCACATGCATACATTCTCCTCTCACATACAGTATATACATCATACTCTCACATGCACATATCATACTTTCACATGAATATATCATACTCTCACATTATCCTCTCAAAAGTACAGTCTTATACAACATGATTACTTTCTGCTTTTTACACATATACATTCTACTCTCCTACAAATACATTCTTCTCTCACATACTGTATATACGTCCTACTCTCACAACAACAGATTATCCTTTCACATGCTTACGTCCTCCTCTCAGACGCATATATCCTTCTCTAACATGCATACATTCTCCTCTCACATACATACTACATCATACTCTCACATGCATATGTCACACTCTAACATGC